AGAAAAGACACAGAGAGAAACAGACCCGCATATTCACTCTATTTTATTCTTAATTTAATACACACACACATACATACACACACATACATACACACACATTTTATATATTTTGATTTCGAGGGAGAGAGGGAGAGAGAGGGGGAGAGAGGGAGAGAGAGAGAGAGAGAGAGAGAGAGAGAGAGAGAGAGAGAGAGAGCTTATTAAAAGTAGTCTGAAGTTGATGATCCTTGGTAATTGTAATGGAGCACTTTACATTTTCTCATCAAATGTTTATTTAATTATGATATCATTATTTCCCAAAGAAATTTTCAAAGAAGTTGGAGGGAGCTCTCTATTCATTTATAGCCCTTGAGTTCACACTACTTTTGAACAAAGGCAATTACATATATATTTTATTATATTTTTAATTTAATTTACAATAATTAGTTAAGTTCAAATTAAATATTATCTAATCGATATTTTATTTAAATACGAAAATCAATCAGATTCAAAATGTATTTTATAAAATTCAAACCCAATTAAATTTTTAATATCTACTTCTAGATTTTATTAGAATTTCTAATAAAATTTAACTAGATTCTGAATTATATATAAATATATAGGTTAAGCACTTTAACCACTCAATCATTAATATATAAAAGCGCTTTTTTATTTTATTAAAAGTTGTCTTAAAAGATATGAATTATTTAAAAAATGTATTATATAATTTTATTAAAATTTAGAAATATATACTATATATTTTAATTAAAATGAATTTATTTTTTTAAAAATTAAAACAAATAGTGTGAGATGGTTACAATTTTTTTACCATCCTAGATTGGAGTTTGAATCTTCTGAGTTTTTCTTTTTGTCTCTTCCAAAATTAAATAAAAAACAATATATATATATATATATATAATTGTACTTAAATTTTGTGTGTGTGTGTGTGTGTGGGTGTATGTATATGTGATATAGCTGATCAATTATTTATATTAATTGAGTTAATTAGGTTTTTGCTGATATTGGTGACAGTCTGTCAGATAATGCCGAAATTCTAAAACCCTGTTATATATATTGTTTGCATAATCATTACTTTTATCATTGCACTTTAAATTTAGTATTGGATAAAGCAATGACAATGTCACATATATATATATATATATATATTTGTATGTGTGTGTGTGTGTGTATATATATATATATATATAGCTTTTCAAAAAGATGATTGAAAAACTTTGTAAGTTGTGATTACCACATGATATACCACCAAAGGGAAGTTTCCCCTGCTGAAGCTACAAGAAGAATTATTATTATTAATTTTTCTAATATCATTTTTTTAACCTTCTCATTTAAACTTTATTAAATTTAATGCAATTCACTCTATGACTCAACAGTTTAGGAGAAGTAATAAATTAATTATAAACACTTTGAGGTGGCAAAATAAATTAAGGAAAGAATAAATTACATAGGAAATTTTCATATTAAGTATATTACAATTTAATATATTTGTTTGTAAAAATAGTTAATTTAGTACTTTAATTTTTATACAATCGTAAAATTAATAAATACTTCAAAAAAAAAAATTCTTAAGTTCAAAGTTAGTAGAAACTCATTCTTTAAAGAATGTACACTTATTTGCTCAAAATATGCTTGAAACTCAAAATTCAAAGGTAAAATTGAGATATTCTTGGTTTGTACATAATCATTATAAACTTAACGGTACTGTTTTCTTCGATTTCTTTCACTCATTTTCTTTTCTTCTTGTTTTTTTTTTCCTTCTTGAAAAGTAAAAGATTCATTGGAACTAAGAAGTTAGATAGTAGAATTACGAAATTATACATTGCAAATACTAACTAAAAATAAATAAATAAATAAGTTGTTAAATGGAAACTAACCTTAACATATAAGTTATTTGGTAACTACTAATCAAAACATACCAACAAACCTTAAAAAAAAAAAAAATTCCTAGACACATTAAACCCTCTTATAGAGATAGTATAAGTCATCCTTTCATGCATTTGACAATAAAACATATATTTCTCTTTTGTTTTAGGTCATAACATTAGTCAAAATACTTGTCTTAAAATCATACTGAGACAAAAATAATAGAGCTAAGCTTTTTCAAAACATATATGCCCGAATTGCATTAGGCTACATGAACAAACATATAGAAAATTAGTATCATGAATAAGAAACAAAGCGGCTCTATCAAGCACTACAATTGTGAGGAAATAAGTAAAATAAAAACATAATTGGACAACCCAAATTATAAGCTACTCGTCACAAGGGTGTTTAATAATAGAAGCTTTCATCGCATTGATTTTTATTGTACTCCCACTAGTAATTTTTTAACTTGATATTGCATCTCTATCTCTAGGGCCCTAGGGAGTTTATGTTAGAATGTTATAATTGAGAGCAAAACATCCTTTATCAAGAGAAACACGAAGCCCCCAACACCACCATATGTCAATCATAATAATACGACAATTAGCTCAAAACCAAAAAGATTAAAAGAAATAGGAGATGAAGTCTGTAGAGCAGCCTAGTTTTCCATTTCTTGCTTCCTTGCATCAACTTGTAATGAAAAAACATCGAGCTACAAGTAAAGCTTAAAAGTCAAATACCTTATACATTGTTTAATCCTAAGATCTTTCTTATTTATAACCATGCAACCAAATCCACCCTCTCCCTACTCCCAACCTAACAAGTATATTCCACAAAATTTCTCTCTTTAATAGTGAGAACAAAAGATATCAATCTCATGTTTTCTACAACATTGGCAATTAGATTAACAATGTTATTCAAATACCATAAAAATTGTGTTGTTCTCTACCCATGCTTCAACCACCATAGAATCATTCTCCACCACTGAGTCCAAAGTATTTCATAGATTACAACTTGTAATAGTGTATAAATCCTCACACATTGCTATTAACTCTGCCTGCTTTGAGTCATTAGACATCAACACCTTTTTAGAAAACACATTGAATCCTATTCTAACATCCCCAAAAACTCTACCAATACATGTTAGACAAGTTTCTCCCTATATCAATGCATTCACATTAAATTTTAAGGTTCTAAATTTTGACATGATAGAATTATTTAGCATGTATGGTATAAGGACTATCCTCTGGTCCCCATATTGGGTAAAGTAATTTCTATCTCAATGGTCGAGTTACTGCTAAACTCCCTATAAAAGGCTTTTAGCCACCATGCGAATCTCATCTTTATCAATTAACAAATTTTTACAATCGATACATCTTTGGCCTCATAAATTTTCTCATTTTTAGCCGACCAAATTGACCATAGGATGTCATAAAGGAGCTTAAAATCACTAGCCTACCTATTATTAAGATAAAAACAACTTATTTATGCGTGAGGGGACACCATGAAAGTCCTACAAACCTTAACATGTACAACACATTAACCCATGTGCTCTTACATTAAAAGATTAAGTGATTGATGTTCCTTGCATATTATCTGTAAAAAATCATCTAGAACTTTAAGTCTAAACTAGCAAAGGTGTGGCAAACCCATCAAACATATATCCACCTTGGAAAGCTACCATGCAATTAAGTTGACTACTCACTTAAAGACTTGATAGAAAAGAAACCTTTATTATCCCATCTTTACACATGCCTAGATTATCAATGCCTATATAGTACCACTTTTTGTAGTAGATTGAAAAAGATAAGCCCATTGATATCCTTCCTAATTTAGTAGTCTCTTCCTAAGGTTAATATTCAAGGACAATGTCGAGTCTAACTAACTATGCTCTCCCCTGCATTAATATTCTAGTAACTAAGGTGTAAATCCTAGGGAAGACTTCTTTAAGAATATAATCTTATGGAAGACAATCTCAACCCCTTGACTATCCCCTTTAAGAAAAATGATGGTTATCTTAGAACTGTTATAGGTGGTAATAGTGTTGATGGTAGAAAAACATTTATCTATTAATTTTCATATCCAAAATAGATTGTTCTCAATATTAAAGCCTCTAGAACCACTTAATGAAAAGTGCATGTCCTTTAATTGATTGATACCTAGACCTTTTTAGTTATTGCTTAAACACACTCTTACCTAGTCAACCAAGTGTATCTTTTTCAAATCTGATGAATCACTTCACAAGGAGCTCTTAAAAATAGACTTCAACTTGTAGGCAATCAATATTGGTATTTTCAATTAGATAAAGTAAACGAATTTTGATGAAAACACAAATTTAGTCGAAGTTAACCTCGTTAGTAAAAAGGAACTTGTTCCTCCATTCCACCAATTTTGCCTCAACCTTATCTATACACGATCTTCAAGTAAATATTAAAGAGGGATTAACACATAAAGAGAAATAAGATAGGTAAAAAAAGTTATAGAGATCAAAAACCAAATGATGGAGATCAAGACATAACTCAAGAGGAAGTCCATCCACATAAAGATGAACATAGGATGGACATAACTCAAGATGTACTTGGGCTATATGGACGGAATATCATTATGCCAAGTGATCCGATCACAAGATCACGAATCAAGAAACTCATGTAAGCTTTTTAAGCTTATGTTCAAGAATGGATAAATAAAGAATGAAGGTTTAGACCAGATTTGGAGACCCATGAAAGATGAAGGTTGAATCCATTAAGTCATTAGGAGAGGCAGTCAATCACTCTCCTACAAATCATGGAAAATCGACTAATTTTATTACAAACCAATCATTAAGAGTCTTTTCTCTTCTACAACTCACAGTAACCGATCTCTAAGAGTCTTACAAGTCCTAAAGACTCGACCAATCACTCTTCTAAAAGTCTTATCGATCACTCCTCTTATCTTAGCTGGATTTCAGCCTTAATCTCATAAAGAATAAAGAGTTCTTATCTTATAAGGCATGGGTGAATGTT